CGCATCTGTTTTCTCTGTGACCGCATTGCTCTGCACTAAGCCAAAGGGAAACTTGTTCAACTCTTTCCACAAAACTTCCTTGCACACCTATGACAGGTTACAAGACTCTTTAACATATCAATAGCAGCCAGGCAAAAATAAGAGTGTCTTTATACTTTGTCGTCTTTGATAGAACAAGTATTCACCTGTCAGCTTAGACGCCGGGGCGATATTCCCCCAAAGTTGAAGGATGTCAAAAGTTTGAATGCAAGTCTGTTTAATACCCTTTCGGAGAATAAACCATCTTTCTCTGCATCTGCTTGTGTGGACGGTGTGTGTGAGCGTGTTCATGTCTGTGTCCCTTGTCTATGGCTTGTCCTGGGCTGATCTTCAGAACGAGGATTAGAACACTTCCCTGTGGATTGTTTTCGGGTATAAGGCAGCAGTGTGCAACATTGAGGAGTTATTTACCTTGTCTGATTGAAAAATGTATCCCCGGTATAGTTTAAACAAGGATGAGTGTGTACGCAGTTTTACTGATAAAGCCAGGCAGGCAGGACTGATGCAGGACTGAAGCAGGACTGATACAGGAGGGTAAGTGACATGCAAAAGATGAGAAGTTGATATTTATTGGTTCATCTTATGTATGCAGGGGCAGACGATTACTGTGACATTTAAACTGAACTGTTAATTACAGCTTCAAAATTAATTAATCGTAATTGATTGCATTTCGAACTATCGGCAAAATTATGCCATATTTTTCTGTAAATGGTTGTTTGAATGAAAAGATACATGACAACAACATAGTGTACATATGTACTGTATTTGTTTATCATAACAACAACAAAAATCCACATAAAATGGCATTAACATTATCAACATTCTTTCTTTAGACAGTATTTCTTCATTTTTGGATGCTATTCATTATTGTGCCTCTTGCTGTTGGCTTGCAGGAGGACGAGGGACACTACTCTCAATGCTTTAGCGAGACCCTTATCTTCAACTATTGTAGCAAAGGTTTCACTATTATTAGCTGGTTATTGTCTTATTGTTGTCGCAGAGTGGACATTGGTCAGGATGCAAATGATAAGTCTCGTTGATGATTATTTCCTTTATTCTGAGTTGTACAGGAGTGTGTATGTGTGTGCGTTCTTCTGTAACACAAACAGATCATACAACATACACAACATATTAGAATACTATCACAGTTACTTAGTTATCACACGGAAATAATGTGCATCACTACGCTTAGCATAATCTAATAGTATCACTAAACATAGTTGTTGTCATGGTGTGGATTTTGTTATTTTGTACTTTGGTTTTATTTTGACATTGTTCTGAGTAGTTTGGTTTTGGTTTTACTTCCTGTCCTTTTTTCCCCTGTCTTGATTGTCTGCCCCGCCCTGATGTGTTTCACCTTTGTCTCTCTGTGTCTATAGGTACCCTGTGCTTCTCTCCTCTTGTTGCTAGTCCATTGTATTGTCGATGTCCTGTCATGTCAAGTTCTGTCTTGTTCCTGTTCCCCTTTGGATTTTTTGAGTTTTGAGATTTGTACCTTGGACTTTATTTTATTCAATCATTATTTTTGCATTCCTGCATTTGGGTCCTTCCTCCTCATTTCCACCACGTGACAGATATACACATCATACCACTACCGATATTTGTAGTCTAATAACGTAATAACCAGTGCTAACAACTTGACAACTGGACATTTTCTCCCAGTGTGAATGTGCCTCTCTCTGGCCATATGCATTGTAATGCCTTAGCTTTAACTATATTTTAACTATAACTTGAATTACACACAAATGAACAAATCACCACCAAGTGTGCATACACAATAAAGTAACATGTAAACATGCACTCGCAGGACTAGCCCAGCCACCTAGCCCAGGAGCTAAACTAGCCTCAATCCCCAAGAACTTGCAAATAGAGATGTACCGATCCAGATTTGTTGTAATCCGATCCGATTCCGATATTCTAAATATTGTTTTGCCAATACCAATCCGATAACAATCCGATATTTTTTTTTCTAATATTATCAAAGCATTAAAGATTTTGCATTTTTACCTGAATAATTACGTTTGTCGTGTCGGCTAACACACGTTAGCAGCCTTGTTTACAGTCACGGGGAATGAGGCTCGAGGAATATGTTCACAAGCAGTCTCCCCCATAGTTAGTCCTGGTTTATCTCCTGTTTTGTGTCCCCATGACGACTCTGTGCGGCCACTCTCTGATAGCCGCACGGAGGAAAAAGTTCATCTCTTGCTTTCGCGCGCATGCACCGGGTCTCTGTGTCCACTGCCTCTGCCACAGCGCACATGCGATGCCTCGCACGGACGTGCATAACCATTGACACGGCATTGAAAAACAATCTTTAGATCCATGTACGCTACGCATTGTGCGGTTGTTGTTTTTTCATTTCCCAGAAAGTTTTGCGGTTCACGCTTTTCTGTGATAGATCGAGAAGCCTATGCCTACATCCCCCAGAATGCCGCGCGCCTCTGACTCGGCTTTACTTCCTGTGTTTTCGTCCTGTTTTTTCCAACGGATTAATGTTAAACTAACAATCTATCAACCCCGTTTTCTATTGATATCAAACACGTGTCTATTGCAATATATCTCGTTGTCGTTATAGCCCAGCCCTAGTTTTACATTGTATTTAGTTTACGGCAGCCATAAAGCGTGAGCATGCCTAAAAGTGACGTAAATCGGCTTCATATTTTACAAATCCGATATTATTCGATCCTTACAAAATACCCATATCGGATACCGATACTGAATATCAGATCGGTACATCCCTACTTGCAAACCCATGACACGCATTAAACACAATTGCCAATCACCCGACTCTCTAATGGACGCACACAAGCTTTTTACACACAGAATTGCAATCTGCCATCATCTATTGAGCACACAGAACACCGCTGAAACAGCCCAAAACTTTTTATTGCTCACTAGCGGGCGGCCAGGTCGGGAACTGCAACTATGTACAAACACTCTATTCAAGCCCTGCCTTCATAACAACTATGCTAATCGGTCCAGGCCTGGACGGGCCTAAAACACTTTTTCTTTTTTATGTGGACCACATACTCTTCAGGATGTAGAGTTTAAACAGTTGAAACTACATACATCCAAAACATCTAACATGTCTCGGACTGGGGAAGATGGACGCAGGCCAAAACTATTGTTTTTTGCAGGGATGAGAATGGGACATTTAAAAAAAGTCTGAAATGCATAATGTTAGCCAATGGCTGTCAATGAATCTGTTTGATTTGCTCATAACATTTGCGAGGGAAAATTCAGATACCTCAGCTTTAATTCTGTGAGTTTAGATGCGCTTCAGGAGGAGACACGGACACTTGCTGAGGCTCCATAGTCAACTTCAGTGGTGTATTTATTGCATGCACAGGTTACGCAAAGACACGCACACAACAAGCAGAGAATAGTTCTGTGTTGTGTATAGTCTTGGATGTGATCACATTACAGCGACACAAAATACATAAAAATATAAAATGATAATATAGATATAAAAATGTGAATTTAATACTGCATTTTTCATGTGTGTTCTGATATACTTCCAAGTCTAGTGGAAGTTTGGTATGTTCTTACCACCGATGAGAGCAGATTGGCAGAATAAAGTAGGCTATATTTGCCGTGACAACTTTGTAATTGAACCGGCCAGTCTCCCACAGCTCTTTAAAGCAGCACCTTTACACACTCTGGAGATCACAGCAGTGAGCTTGTCCCTGACTTAACACGCTGCTCTTCATTCAGCCTTCAAGGACCTTACTTCAGTCCAAGGCACACACACGCTCCAAGGACGGGCTCGCTTTAAAGCCTGCCAAATGCATTCATCAGGCCTTAAACAAGAGTCCATCTCTCTGCTGACAAAGTCTCGTTTGATATGGCCCAGTCCAGTACGCATCCTTCCCTTGGTGTCCTTTACATCTGATAATCTGGCCCCACGACTACCTTTCCACTTCAGTCAGTGTGTGTCTGTGTCGGGGAGAAGTTGCACCTGCAGATCAAATGGTCGGAAATCAAGATGCCGCCTCAGCATGTTTCCCGGCCGGTGACTTTGAAGGATCCCAGCGAGCACACACGCATGCTACCGGTTCCTCTTCCAAAAAGCAGCACGCTCTGGCTGTGATGCTTTGAGACGATGAAGATGAGTCCGTTCTGTTATGTAAAAGCACCGGAAACTTGTCTTCCCCCTCCTGCTGTGATTCAAACTCGCTGTGGAACCACTCTCCGCCTCTCTGCTTCTAACACAACTCTTGTTTTTGTAACACTGCATGTTGTTTATGCTGCACAACGGGCCTTATAGCCAAACAGAATAGTTATTTACAATTTCCAGATGAACGTTTAGCATCTTTCTATTATGATCTGTTCTCTAGTGGTGTCTTTACTTCTAAAGCTGAATGGAATTTTTTTCACCCAAAGTATGATAACGGTTCACAACGCTGCTACCAACCTAGCCTCAAAGTAAAGTTTATTCCAGGATATCCTAAAAATGTCATAATTTATTCATCATCGGCCCACAGCTGCCAGATATTTGCGATCCATGATCTCACTTTGTTTCTGGCCGTCTGCATCATCCCCCTGCTGAATGCTTTAGTAGCTGTTTTTGTGGCACGTTAATAAACCTTTCACCAAAGAAAACACAGCAGCTCCACAGGGTTCCTGGGCAGCCACTAAACAGTCTCTGTCTGCAGCATTTAGATACAATCCACTGTGGCATTGAGGCTGCACCGGGAAAAAACACTGTTAACTGTTGATTTCTCCAGCTTTATAAGGTCCACAGAGTCCTCTGTCCCTGCTTGCTGAGGTCGATCTGTCCCAAACCATAGAGCTCTTTGTCCCTGGTTCCTGAGGTCCATCCGTCCCAAACCACAGACGGCTTTGCCCCAGTGTCTTCATATTCATTCATCGCACACACTTGAGTGGTCTGATTGTTTGTTTTTCTGGTTGTTATTTCAGCCCACACACATTCTTTCTGTGCCTCTCTCTGTGTTTTGTAGCTATGCACCTGTTCGGCCTGAACTGGCAGCTCCGTGAGGTGGAGAATCAACCTGCTTTTGAGAATGGCGCAGCGGCAAAGGCAGGAGGGCCCACTCAGACCAGCGTGGTGACGGCGCTGGCTGTAGATAACGGTGAGGAGCACACATGAGCATCTTCAGACCTGCAGCAGAACAATGCACTGTGCACTTTCACGGGTCTCAGAGGAAACATAAGCCTGCTGTATAAGGGCAGGCCTAGACTGTGATCTGTGAGACTGTAAAAACACATTCCACACACTATAGTGGTGTGCCTTCAATGAAGAAATATGTATTATCATGTGACATCATTGTTCACCACAAACACCTGGAGTTGTTTTTCACTTTTCAAAACTAATTACAGGAATGTTACCGGCACAAAGATGTCTCCCCCCCCACACGGTTTTATGATTCCAATGTTTCCTTTCTTGTTTTGTGATGCATTTTGGGTTTCCCTGTGTATGAATTGTGCTATACAATGTGTCCAAAACTGTCCAAACACAACAATACTAACAGATACGCGCACGGTCACTAGTTTAGTATGTAATATGTTAACGCTTACTGCCCTTCCTTGCTGATGAATGTCAACATGCCCATTAGACATTAGATATATTCCAATGTGGTTTTACTGCAAATGGCAAACCCTACATAAATGTGATGGCAGTGTGCTCATTCTCGCCACCTCTTATTCCTTGTTATCCATATATTTTCTACTTTCACTTTCTGAAATATGCAATGCGAAATTACTTTATCTCTGCATCATGTTTATGGGCCAAAATGAACACAAATTATGCGAAATATTATAATCCCTCCTGATAATCGCTTTCACACAGTTTACCTGGGGACGTGTTTGATGAATTACACATGTTACAATTCTATTAACTCTTTTAATGGGACAAGAATCTCTGGTATCGTCTATAATTATTACAGTACAAACTGCCTGAGGTCCCCAGATGAAACTAGAGCTCTTTCTCAGTCCACCCCATACATACAGTAGATACATACATACTGTTCACTTGTCTTGTCCCTAACTGGTTTATCTACATTATACTGGACAGAGAGAGTGAAACAAACCATTAGAATCCACACATCATGCTTTTGTTTGTTACTGTGATCAAATACAACCTGGCCATAGCCCCTAGCAGAGGTCTCCAGCAGAGGTCCCCACTGACAGGTGGCTCTCTCTGTCAGACAAGATGTGTGATGAGAACGCTGCTGCTTTATGCTTTTGTAAATGATAATTTTCTGATTTGAATGAACATGATGAGCCTGTGTGAGCAATGTCTGCATCTGCTGGCTGCAACTGCATCCAATGTCTGGGTCTGCTGTCTACTGTCTGCATCTACTGTCTGCTGTGTGCGTCTGCTGTCTGCATTTGCTATCTGCGTCTACTGTCTGGTATTTGTGTCTGCGTCTGCTGTATGTAACAGAAATGTGAAATAGCCCCTCAGGAGAACTACATTCAGACAGTCTGTCTTCTCCGTCCAGGGGGAAAAGCTCTAGAACACTTTAAAGGAATAGTTCACCGTTTTTACATACTGACAAATGTTCTTACCTTACCTTAGACTAGTTAATACGTACCTGTCTGGTCTTAGTCCGTGCGCTCTGTCATGCAAACGGAGCAAAAACGGGAGCACAACCGCAGCCTCCTCTGTATATTTTGTAGCACCAAAAGGTAGCTCCCGCTAGAAGCTACCAAACTCTTCCAAGTGTTCCCTATTAAATGTATATAGTTACGTGACGTGTTACACTGCAAAGTATAGTAACACAGAAATGTAACAGTCGATTTTCTCAGCGGATAAAACGGGTACTATATTGTGAGGCGTAGTAATCTGAGGGGCGCTACGTCCGCGCACTAACTTCTCTCCGAGACTTCTCTTCTCTCTCGCTCACTTCCGTCAATAGAAGCAGCGTGACTTGTAATACACACAGTAGCAGCGAGAGAGAAGTCTCCGGAGAGAAGTTAGTGCGCAGAGAAGTTAGGAGCGCTACGTCCGCGCACTAACTTCTCTCCAGAGACTTCTCTCTCGCTGCTACTGTGTGTATTACAAGTCACGCTGCTTCTATTGACGGAAGTGAGCGAGAGAGAAGTCTCCGGAGAGAAGTTAGTGCGCGGACGTAGCGCCCCTCAGATTACTACGCCTCACAATATAGTACCCGTTTTATCCGCTGAGAAAATCGACTGTTACATTTCTGTGTTACTATACTTTGCAGTGTAACACGTCACGTAACTATATACATTTAATAGGGAACACTTGGAAGAGTTTGGTAGCTTCTAGCGGGAGCTACCTTTTGGTGCTACAAAATATACAGAGGAGGCTGCGGTTGTGCTCCCGTTTTTGCTCCGTTTGCATGACAGAGCGCACGGACTAAGACCAGACAGGTACGTATTAACTAGTCTAAGGTAAGGTAAGAACATATGTCAGTATGTAAAAACGGTGAACTATTCCTTTAAGACCTCAGCTTAAACGGAACTCGAACTGGGCTGGTTTTAAACACAAACTGAAACATTTTATTTAAATGAACCAGTTGTGTGAGCCTTAATGAGTTGGAGACACCTGCCTTTGTATATGTGAATGTAACTGTGTGTTAAAAGCCCTTCTAGGGACGAACATTGCAAATTATCCTTGGTAATAAATGTTGTAGTGTTTACCAAGTTGATTGTGTACGCTACCTATCAAATAAATCAATAAATAAACTGCAGCAACTGCGTCCACTGTGTGCTGTCTGCTCTCTGCACCTGCTGTTGCGTCTGGTGTTTCCATGGATCTATTATAATAACTGGATAAGGTATTACTAGCTTGGAGCTAAAGGACCCATGTGCTTGGCGGATTCTCGCGGTACTGCATACTAAATCAGACTAAATTCACGTGGGCTACCCAGAAAATGTTGCCCATAGAACTCAATGTAAACTAAAACAGCTCGACCTCAGCTGAGAGAGAACCTACAGCTTTCATAAAGGTTGGATCTTGTGGGGATTTTAGTGTCCTTTGACATCCTGAACTTTTTCTTTAAATCCACACTATACTGCCACAAACTCTGCTCGTCTGTCTCCCGCTCTAGCTCCGCTCTGATGAGCAGTTCTGATTGGTCAGAGCGCGGCCGAGCCTCTCTGTGTACGTGCATGAGAGCCACACACGCGTATTTGGCGCAACGCATCATGGGAGTTTATCCACTGCGCAGAACCGGCAGGACCAGACGATGCCCAAATATTGAAAGTGATATGGCGAGTTCCGCTAATATGTCAGCGACCGTGCCAGCACATGTGCCACTGAGCACAAACCATTCATTTAAATACAACGCCATCTTGGAACGCCAGGGCTTGGGTGTTGCGTCTGTTGTCTGCTGTCTGCTGTCTCCGTCTGCTGTCTGCGTCTGCTGTCTGCTCTTTGTGTCTGCTTTCTGCTCTCTGGCGACTTTGACTTTGTGGATTCAAACATCCATCCTGTGTGCTGCATTAAACATGAGCAGTAAGAGGAGAAGTTATGTAGATTTATTCAATTTTAAAGTTGAAAATGCAAAGATCCAGTAAAGTTTATGGCTTATATTGTTCCTTTGCACAGTGTTTATTAACCAGGGTTTTCTAATAAATTACGGCCAGCTAATTTAGGTCATTTCTCAATGTTGCCCTAAACCTGATATTTTTATTATGAACTTTGGCATTGCATGTTTTGGAATGTGAATGATTGAAACGATACTGACTTAAACACCTATAAACTGTTCCATGATCTGACACGTCATAACCATAAACGTGTATCAAGTACTAGCTTCCATGAGTGATACTTTGTGGAGCCCTTTTCACTGTGATTATCTCAGCAAGTCTTTTGGGTAGATGGCATTGTTTTTCCAATTTTTCTTAGCATTATTTTTCTCCATCACATAAATGGAGAGCGTTTGTCAACAGCAGTTTTCACAGATTTTCTACTTGGATTTAGGTCTGGACTCCGACTGGGCCATTCTAACACACAAATATGTTTTGTTTAATATCATTCCATTGTAGCTCTGGCCTTATGTTCAGGCTCATTGTGCTGATGGAAGGGAAACATCCACTCCAGTAGAAATGGCTACATGAACTTCAGTATCTTGACTATATTTCCTAATCACCGGAAACACTCTGCACAAAGATGCTCTTACAGCAGCTTGCAGTCCTCTAAAGTTTTAAACAATTTATTTCACATGTGCAGAGCATACATACAAATACATATAAAGAATACAGATGTATTAGTCTGAGAATGAATTTGAAATCATCGGGGGATGTGTTTGTGCCACAGGTTCCAGATATAGACGTGAATGCAGCTTAAACACCTCTGCTCTGGCTCAATTTGAGAAGTAAACTCCTCTAGCTCATTAACTTTTTGTGTCACACTCACCATTTTGGGCTTAAAACATCTGTAGTTTAGCGCTCTCAATGATCCTGTATTTTGTGCTTTGATACTTTGATACTTTGTTAATCCAGAGATGAGCCACATAAGGATTCACCAATCAGATGCCTCCATTCTGTGTTTATGTTGTGATGTTTTCTTTGTAAATATAGATATGTAAGTAAGTATGTAATGTTTATTTATATAGCGCATTATTCAGACCAAGGTCACCCAAACCGCTTTACAATGTTCAGATATGTGCCAATCAACTGACGGCACTCATGGCTACATTCCCACTTTACCTGTTTTTTTGTTGAGTTGTGTAGGCGTTTTGGCACAACTACACTGGCACAAGTTAATGTTTTCAATGCAGAAGCTAGTTGTGTAACATTCAACAATATTAAACTTTAGAGTATACTGTATATAATTATGAACAGCTGTCATTGATTATTAATGCATAAAAAAAAAAAAATTGTCCACTCACCTTTGGCCCTCCGCGGGCGGTTATCCCTCTCTAAGCTCGGGTCCTCTACCAGAGGCCAGGGAGCTTGAGGGTTCCGCGCAGTATCTTTGCTGTTCCTAGCACTGCACATTTCTGGACCGAGATGTCCGAGGTTGTTCCGGGGATCCGCTGTAACCACTCATCTAGCTTCGGGGTCACTGCCCCGAGTGCACCGATCACCACGGGCACTACTGTCACCTTTACCCTCCAGGCCCTCTCCAGCTCCTCTCTGAGACCTTGGTATTTCTCAAGCTTTTCATGTTCTTTTTTCCGGATGTTACCATCGCTTGGAATTGCCACGTCCACCACCACGGCTGTCCTCTGCCCTTTGTCTACCACCACGATGTCAGGTTGGTTTGCCATTACCATTCGGTCGGTCTGTATCTGGAAGTCCCACAGGATCTTCGCACGCTCATTCTCCACCACCTTTGGAGGAGTTTCCCACTTAGACCTTGGGGTTTCCAGCCCATACTCTCCACAGATGTTTCTGTACACTATGCCAGCCACTTGGTTATGGCGTTCCATGTAGGCCTTCCCTGCCAGCATCTTGCACCCTGCAGTTATGTGTTGGATCGTCTCAGGTGCCTCTTTGCACAACCGACACCTTGGGTCTTGTCTGGTGTGGTATATCTGGGCCTCTATCGCTCTGGTGCTCAGTGCCTGTTCCTGTGCAGCCATGATGAGTGCCTCTGTGCTGTCCTGTAGGCCAGCCCTTTCTAGCCATTGGTAGGACTTCTTGAGATCAGCCACTTCTGTTATGCTCCGGTGGTACATGCCGTGTAGGGGCTTGTTCTCCCATGATGGGTTCTCCTCCAGCACCTCCTCATATATATATATATATATATATATATGCAGGAGCATCTGTCTTTCCTTTATATATTATCTGGAATGAACGCCCACATTAGATGAGGGATGGACTGAGGAGGCTGACTTTCCGCCGCCATATTCTGTATAATTCACTCCTCAGTCATAAGCCTCAACTCTAGTCTGGCGTGTTCAAAACGCGGTGCCAATTTGAATCATTTTAGGATCACATTAGCATATTTTCAAAAGCAGAGCGAACAGACAGCCCTCAGCAGCAGAGGCTCCAGACCTGCACCGCTCCACTTTTTAAAGCTGCGTTTTATTTCCAATCTATACTGAGAAAAGTAAAAACACATGACCAAAATGGCACCAGGGAGCAACAGTGGAGTACTATCTCTCATTTGGCGCGTTATTCGTTTGCTTTTATGAAAATCCATTTCCATAAATCCAAAGTTCTATTCATCTTGTTCATTAATTGACAATTTTGACTCACAGGAAAGAAAAACGAGTAGCAGATAAGTACAGCAGGATAAACAGAGCTAAACACATGCTAAAAATTGTTATGGCTAGTAAAGCAATGGATCTCAATGTGGAAGATGTCTTTTATCACTCAATGTCTTTGCACACAGCCTTCATAAATATATTTTTTCGGATATGTCTGTGACATGTGTATGTAGAATTCTTAGACTTACATGGTAAAAGAGTCTATATTTAGTAAACACCAACGTTATAAGAATATGTGTCTATGGACAGAATGCCAGGACTTACCTTAAACGCAGGAGCTACTCTGAAGCTCCCTGCAGGTCCAGTCAGAGAAGCTCTCTACAGACTCTTCTCTTAGGGTCACACTGGACAAATGAGGGACCCCTGGACTGACGAAAGGACACTGTCTGGGTAGCTAGCTTAAAGGATATATATGCTTGAAGTTTGTTGATAGGACCAGGATAATATCCATCCCTGGATGCATGAAGACGCATAACTTGAGAGGGCCTCGGATCCATTGTTTCGGTAATCAACATTTTTGGTATGTGCTTGGCAAACCAAACACTGCAGTTTTTGGTATGCTCTCCTTTGTGTACAGGTTTAACAAAAGTACAAAAAAGAAATCATAATCAGACTACACACACATGCTACCCTCTCTCTTATCACTGTAATTGCTTTGTTGATAAATATAAATAGTTAAAGAAGAGAAGGAGAGGGAGACATGGAGAATATATGGACATGCATATACAGTCATCCCCCCCCCCATTTAACATTTTTACATTATGACAGTATTTTATTGATCTTGGACTTCATTTTGGTTTGCTTGGATTTTAACTATTTACTATAGACTTATTTTTAGATATTAAATTAATACTGTGAAGGTCCGGAGGCCACAAAGAAATGTGAATAAGGGCCCCCAGTGCACAGCTTTCCCAGGTCTGCAATAGACTCCATTTAACATGCAGGAATGACACAATGGAGAACCAGATGATTATCACTGGTGTGCAGGTGTCCTTACAGTTTCCCATAGATACAATGACATTAGTCTAGTTCAGATACGTTTATTATCAAGAGCTGTTGTACTCCACACATGATGTAAGAATATTCGACGATAGAAGTGTGCTTTTTTCCAAGCCTCTGTGCTTTCAGGCAGTGGAAATGGTCGGTACGTGCTGCTGTGGGCTGAATTGCTCCGCTGCATCAGAGGAAAGTTATTGCTTGTGAAAATTAAACAGCTCCATCTTTTCCCGTGCAGAGATTTAGCAACGCGGGCTGGAAAACACTTTTGCCATTTGTCTTCCTAACAATCAAATCCGTTGTGGTAATAGCGCATTGGCCATTGCCAGTTTTTCATGGGGATCACATTAAAACGCTCCTCTTCCCATCTCTGAGCAACATTTACGGACATCATTCTCCAAATTGTTTTGATTTGTCGCCATTTTCATTCTGTAAGGTCACAATATCTGACAGATTCCATTTAGGGCTTATCTGATGCAAGTCACAGAGAAAAGAAAAATATGTTGGCGCGCAGACTTTTCTATAAAAAGCCAATTAAATCTGCTCTTATTTCTCTTAAGACCTGGGTGGGGGGACTGTGGGGGTCTTTCATTGAATCCTGTTGAGGCCAGTCTCATTTAAGGCACGTCTGACTATGCTGAGGCTAAATCTCTGCTTGAATATCGTCTGCGATCTCAGCACAACGGCACAAAGACAGAGCACCATCTGCAGCTGCGCACAGTTCAAAGGTTTATTCCCAATATTAGGAGTGGACTGACCAAATGCTGACGTCACCATCGTTTTTGCCATAATGCGGGAGAGGCCATTTGAACAAAAGCTCACTGGAGCCAATTTTCTTTTATGGGCATTTCTTCCACGCCATTAGCTTTGCGCCATAACAAGGGCACACGTGTTACCAAAACGGTTGCTAAGGCAAGCTGGAGTTTCACATGCAAATTAATGTAAAATATCTAAAACCTTGCATGGCCCATACTTGGATTTACAAAGACAACATCACAATAAAAAAACAGGATTATTCCACAAGCCCAAAATGGTGAGTGTGACACAAATGAGTAATGACTTTTAATGTAAATCAACAGGAGCCGAAGCAAAACTTTGTCCATGAGCACTTTCCTACTGAGCTTCAATGATCTAGCGAGTTAGCATAAACCATCTTTATTCAATTCAATTCAAATTTATTTGTAGATAGCCCGAAATCACAACAGTATTTTTTATTACTTAATAATTACAGTATCACATAAAAGACACACATCACATCATGGCTTAGTAAGGTTTTTAATGACTTTTACCCAACAACTGGTCAACACCTGTTCCATTTGCATTAGACTTTTAACCCTGTCTATTGGTTGGGTCATATGTGTTTATCACAGTGGTTACATTCTTAAAAATTACCTGCTATATGTTTTAAGGGTGCAAAAGTAACTGGTTAGAATACAGCTGCAGAGGGCACCAGACTGAAGGGCAGGAGCAGGACTGAGAGCTGTGGGAGTATCACCCTCTGAACCAGTCACAGGGTGCAGCAAGCCACAGAAGTTTTATTCTGACTGTGAATAAAGGTAACTGTAATGTCATATTAGCGGTTTTATGACATATTATATGATGCTGTTGGAATTTACGCTGTAAGAAAAGCTGTAAGAAATCCAGACAACACATTGTGACTCCTCCTGTTTTGTTGTGTTTTGTCAGGACGCAGCGGCGTGATTCAGCAGGAGAACAACTCCATAGACTCAGGACAGGTGGAAGTGGGGAGGCGGGCTGGACAGAGCCTCCCCCCCTCCATCTTTTGGAGGTCCCAGCTCAACGTCCAACAGCCACGATTCATCAAGTTCAACATCTCAGTGCAGAAGAACGCACTGATCGGAGTGTACGGCCGCAAAGGCCTGGCGCCCACGCACACACAGGTGAGAAATATTGTGTGCAATTGTGGATTTTTTCCCCCATGAGACTGAATAAATATACTGTATATAAAACAGAAAATGTTCTTTGGGAAAGTTACATACTTTGGGGGTGAAGTATATTCTAGTTGCACATAAATCTGCTTTTGTTTATACACCAACATTGAAATAACTATTAGAGTTTCTAAGTGCAGTTAATAGAAAATAATATGGCAAAAAAACACAATTGGCATTAACATTGCTCTACAATTTGTTCATTGCTGCCCTGGAACATGATCTTCGCCTGGCATTTCATGTTTTAAGATGTGATACTTTGAAAACTTGTTTTATGAAATGTGCAATACAAAGGAATCAAATTTCAAGACAAATGTATTCATATATCGCACTGAAGCGCACCAAATTGCTGGACAAAAAAATCCATAAGAGAACGCAGATCAAGATGAAAGGTTAGAAAAAACAACAATAAGTGTTAAAAGCCAGTGACAAAATGTGCACCTTCAAGAGCGATTAAAGTGACTGTGCTTTTCTGTGCAAGGTTTAATAATAATATTTAGTACAGTGATCCCTCGTTTATCACAGGGGTTACGTTCTAAAAATATCCCCCATTAAGCTAAATCCGCCAAGAATTAGCTATATGTTTAATGGCTGTAAAGCCCCTCACCACACTTTATAGACCAGGGGTGCCCAAACCTTTTGCTTCCACGGGCCAAAGTGTTAATGTGCTAATGGGCCGCGGGCCAAATACACCGGTATTACACATGAAACACAAATAAATGTAAATTTGATAAAGTTCCTTAAATTACTGATGAATAATTAAATGCATACATTTTCTATCAGTGCAATTCACAGCTGAATGAAAACAAAACAACACAGTCTTGGTGAAATGGAGGCTCAATATTTCAACTGGTCCACCTAGGGAAATACACGGGTTTGAGGCGGCAACATATGGAAAGACTCTCGTCGGAGAACCAGGGTCCAGAGGATATTTTTCAGTCATTGTTTATTCACAGGTTATAATCGTGTGTGTGTTTGGTCTGCAATTAAGAACAGACAAATATATAACAAGACATGTCCTATAATCATATAAAAGCTATATAGTGGGTCTACAACGCAAAATTAGCAAAATACAGCCTTTTGTCCACCCCTGTCATGGACTTTTCTAACCACCTGACATTGCTGAAGTGCAATTACAAGATATCAAACTTGTTTGCTGTAGGCCTGAGCGCTTCTGCTGCTGTAAAAATCCATGCATACACTCTAAAATACACCTGCAGAGAACACTGTTCTGAAGCGCACGAGCAAGACTGAGTTCTATGGAAAGACAGTTGTAGTCCTATGAACTAATCACTGTGGTGCACACAAACCACAAAAGTTTTCTTCTGACTGTAATAAAGGTAACTGTATATGATGCTGTTAGAGTATAGACAGCATGGACGAGAAGCAAGCTGTAAATTAAAATTTGTCTTTGCATTAGGAGTTTGAAAGTAAAGCATTTATACAGAAGGGAAGGGGATGGAGTCTGTTTTTGACGAGGAACAAAACCTTGTGATTAGCTGAAAAAGGTTTCAACTGCACCAGACATAATGTCTATTGTTCCACTCAGACTTGTGCCCCTCTTGGTTTAAAATGTGGCATCTCTCTGACGTAGTCAGTTCATCTAACGAGCATAATGTTTCCAAATGCAGAAACCAGCTGTAAAACCATGCAGACTGGAGACCGCTCATTGTCAGAGCATAACATAATCCAAAATGCACTTATTTTTGCAACATAACCACTAGTTACGCCACCACTCAAAAATAAACCATCCCCTGTTGGAGTCTTTGATTTAAGCGGCACAGATCCACTCCGCCTTCCTTTCTCTTGCTGCACTAGACTCAGAAAATGTCTAAAAAGCTTTCCCACAATCCGAGAGTGAATTTGATCAAACACTGAAATTGGTACTGATTTTTAGATGGACATTTTGTTCTAACACTTTCTTTTTCAAAGCTCACATCAGGCCTTAAAAATAAATACGATCCATTTGGCCTCATTCTGGCCCTTAAACGTGGCCCTGAGAAAAATTCACCAGGTATGTAATTGTTCAGAAAAGAAGAACCTTGATGAACATAAACACATATACTAACTCTGTATTATCTATATTTTACATAGTCCTGGGAATTGTGAAAGATAGCCTGGCTCTCGCCAGACCCTTGTAGTTCCGCCATGCTCCACCAGAAGCGTTTCGCTGAACATAAGGGTCTGGGATCGAGCGCATTGCAAACGACTTCAAAGTTTATATTTAACCAATCAGGATTGCTGGAGTAACGTCGGTGTGCACCACCTTCTCGTGTGTGTCTCACGCATGGATCTATTGGCAGCCGAAGCAAACCAAGATGGTGGACATAAACTCAGATGTTTTTTTAAATTTTTTTCAAGTTTAAATACGAACGAATTAAGACACGGATGTCACTTTTTATGCAATATGAAGCGAGATGTTGATGGCTCCATGAAGTTGGGTTTTAACCTCTTATACTCCTGCATAATTTTAAACACATTTAAAAACACATCTCACATGCTTGTGTGATGCATCACATTAAAGCTAGAGCCTTCTAGTTTATGTAAATATATACTAAAATAATGTATGGCATTCCTATTTCACTCTGCATCCTTTGAAGTTTGGGAAAAAAACTTTTTTTTTAGCCTAGCCTAAAATATTCAATGTATAAATGCCCTAAAAAAGGCATTCTTCATTGGAAGATCACAATATTCAAACTCTATATGGTCATTGTGTTGTTGACAACACTTTTGTAAAGTTTCAGACTTCTAAGTTTTATAGTTTTAATCCAGTTTCTCTTTTTCATCAAGTAGGGCCATTCGGAACCAATTTGGCAGAATTTGTGCCAAATTGTTTTACTGACATTTCATCATCATAAAAACCATATTTTTTTGTTTTGGTACTTATAAGTTACTGATCTGTGTGATTTTTTTAAAACATTTTTTTTAACATTATTTTTTAGTAGTGTAAATGCATATAAAATATGCGCAGCAACAAAACAGCGTATTTACGCACGCTTGTACTGTGAGAATTAAAGCATGTCTCACCCATTGCTAGAAAGCTTTTTTTATTGGCTACTTATACATGTCAATCATTCAGCAAGAGAACTCTTCCCTAGCCGTCTGGCTAACAACAAATACAAACGGACCCTGCGCAAAAGCATGATGCTTGTCATATTCACAAGGGGATTGTGAACGGACACCTGCTCATATCTCTTCATGGAAGCTCTCATTTTGTAGCTAACGAGTTGGGGAACACGAGCATACCCTTTCTTTGGGGATAAACAAAGCTGAAACTTAGCGAACTGTGAAAGAGCAGTCTGTACCTCTTTCAGAATTTTTTGTTTGTTTTTTTTTCGCAAAAGATAAACACACATTTTGGTTGGATGTTCTTTTTCCATTGACATTTACGGAGTGAAATAGCCTAAGCAATGATGGGGTAAGTCTAATTTGTTTAAGCAGCAGAAGATGAAAGGTAAAAAACGTATACAGATGTCATTTATTTTGTGCCCATATTATGTGTTATATCTTTTTAATGCCAAGTCTGATATTGTATACACTTATATATAAATGTAGATGAGAAGTAAGCTTTTATATGATATATGGCTTGTGGGTTATGAAGTTCAAAATACATCTGCTATTGCCAGCAAATGTATTTTTTTCTTAAGAAAATGTTTGTGTGAAGTTTGGTTTAAGTACTGGTTTAACTGCTGTCAAAAACTACACTATGCAGGGTAGCCAGGTTGGGTGGTTTCCCGCATACTTTTGTTCCAAGCAACTTGTAGGTACTAAAACAACAAAAAGACAATACAGAGAAGAGAATCATGATTTTCTATGTTGAATGCATTACTTTTGTCAGTGTGCCCCAGGGCAGCTGTGGCTACAGTAGTAGTTTATTACCACCGTGTATGGAGTGAATGAATAATGACATGTAAAGCGTCTTTGAGTGTCCAAAAAGCGCTATATAAAACCGATTCATTATTATTTATTATTATCAGTAAAATGTTCGAGAAATATTTTGAACATTTTTTATGCATGCCTTTATATCCTAGTTTGTGACTTCCTGTTACTTAAAATGGAAAATAAAATAATTCTGATTCAGTTCATTTGCAACAAATATCTCAACATCAGTCAAAAAGATGTATTCCTCTAATTACAAAAATAATAATAATAATAATACATCAAACTTGTATAGCGCTTTTTTGGACACTCAGACGCTTATGGAAAAGATGGGTTTTCAGCACTGATTTAAAGTTTGGTAGTGAGTCATAGTTTCTAATGGGCAGTGGGAGTGAGTTCCAGAGGGTTGGGGCGGCAATGGCAAAGGCTCTGTCCCCCAAGGTCTGGCGGTTAGTGTGGGTGATGGGAGTGAGGAGGTTGGAATCGGCTGAGCGAAGGCGGCAGGTGGGTTGGTGCTGTTGTAGGAGCTCAGTAAGGTAGGGCGGGGCCAGGTTATGGAGGGACTTGTAGGTGAGGAGAAGGAGCTTGTACTGGATGTGGTATTGAACATCAACAAGTTTTGATAATGGCAGAACATTTGAAGAATTTGCTCAAGAAGGGGTGAAATTGAATTTGTCTGCCCCTAAAACTTACCCCATATGTTCAGTTGTAGCCTTTTTCTGCACTGACCTGCTGCCTGGCTGGATCAACTTCCTCAACTTGGTCCTCAAAGGGCAGAGTGGAAGCAGGTTTTCATTCCTACCTAGCAGGAGCACCACAGACACAATCCATTTCCTCACATCCCATGTTAAGCCTAGGCACACTTGATGAAATGGGTGGGGTCTGTCGTGCTACTGCTTGGTAGGAATGTAAACCTGCAGTCACTCTGGCCTTTGAGGACTGAGTGGATTACCCCTCTCTCATTGTGAACTGCTGTGTATGTAAATGCCGTGACTTGTCCAAAATGTGGATTGCTGATGGCGCCTCTCAGACAGGCTCCTCTTCAGAACTCTTGTGAACGCTTATCACCTCTTGACATTCTCTGCTCGTAAAGACGGCTTCAGTCAAGAGCAACAACACTTTGGACGGAAGAAAGTCCTGTGTGAGTGACACTGTTCTCGAGCTGCGCAGCATTAAAAACACTGCATTTTCCCAGGTGCTTAGGGGCTGTCACATTTTACACTGGAGAAAACAGGGCAGGGCCTGGTGGTTATTTCTGTGATAGGAGACATCTGCAGTGGCGTTCCAAGGGTACCCCGGGGCCCCAGGCATCAAAGTCCTTGGGGGCCCCGATACCGACCACATAACCAGATTTTGTAATCCTACAAAATCTAATCATTCATTTGGCCCTTGGTGTTTATATAAACACCAAGGGCCAAATGAAAGATTAGGCTCTTAGCTTTAATCTGCAAAAAACGACTTGTTTTTACCTTTTACCGTTCTTGACCATAGAATATAATGTATATAGTCTGGTTGTTACACACTTAAATAAATTGCCAGATATGGCCAATTTGCTCAATTTACCTTTAATTCTCACATTTTTCAAATTTAACAAATGATCACTTCTAAGACAGTCCCATTTAATCGCAATTAATCACATTTTAATCGCATATAAATATTTGACCTGAGAACAGTGAGAAGTAATTTTTTTCACATGGATTTTTAGTTTACCATTGAATAATGACTGAATACATGAGGCTTAAGCAATACATGTTAATATGGAGTTTAAGGGATAACTTCTAAACATCAAATAACGTTTCTGTCATTGCCTCCACACTCTGACAACATATGCTCCTCCTCCTCCTCCTCACACTGACGACAACATACTCTTTTTAAGCCCAAAATCCACTGCACACGCTGTGAGCACTAAAGCTGGGCATGCGCTGTTTGCTAAAGCTTTTATAATACGTTTTTGATGTGTGCATTCGGAGTAAACATCAGCATTAGCAGCTCACACACCTGTGTCTCGCTCCTCCTTCTCCTTCTCCTCCTCCTCCGCTCACACAGGAGTCACTGCTCCTCCTCCTCACACACAGAGTCCATCGCTCCATACACAGCGCTCATTCCCGTCTAATTTACTCGAATTTAAAGTTGGTCTCTGCTTGTAATAATGTACTTTTGAACAAGAAAAGTCACGGAGCTCCGGTTGGTGCGTCAGTTCAATTGGTCCGTCTGAAACTTATTCAGTGAGGAACGTTCCGCGGTGCAAAAATACATACGATTAAAATGCGTAATTTTTTTAACGCGCTTTTTTGTGTGTAATTAATTCATCTTTATTAACTTGTTAAAGTCCCGGCTCTAGTTTATATGCCATTTGTAAGTTGCATGTAAGTATGATTTAAACAAGAATAGCACTGGTAAGTGCTGCCATTTTAGCTATTATTAGAACAGACCAGCGGGCGACTCATCTGGTCCTTGCGGGCGACCTGGTGCCCGCGGGCACCGCGTTGGTGACCCCTGACCTAAAGTAATTCATTGTCAATGTTTCTACTGAAGTTATTGTGACTGATGTCCTTTGGCTTTCTTTGCTTTACAAAAGGGTTTAAAAGTTTGACACAAAAGAGTCATATTTACTGCTGAAATAGAAGTTCATCGAGCACTTTCTAGTCTCTCCTTTACATTGTGATTTTACGCTTCCAACTGCAGACATCATTTCAACAAACACTGTCATTTTTAATCAATTTAGCTTTTTATTCCTCAATCAACAAGGTGAAATCACTTTACACCGCTCGAACAAAAGCTCCGAACACACATCGACCGTATGGTGCACTTTGAACGCACAGAAAGGCGTTGAAAATCAAAGTGAATGAATGTTGGACTAATTAACAGCAGTAGTTTTTTGTCCAAGCCGCCACGGAGACCGGAGCTTGTCAATGCGTCCGGACACGCATTGTGACCCGCTCCAAATGAGATTCTCCTGTGGGGCTGAGGCTCCCGATCGATGGGCTACCTGACTGACCATGAAAGACCTCAACCACATTATTGGGCGCTTGTCACATTCGCCGCTCGCAAGACAAAACAGCACTTAAGAAGTGCGCACCTAAACGTGTTACCTCAGTCTCATATTGAGTGCCTCGCTTGCTGATTGCAAAACACAAACAAACAAACTTGTCTCTTCAGAGAGGGTCTTTGTCAATCTCTCGCTTGGAAAGTAATTTCTAGTTTTTTGCAACATTGGTTATCATCAAAAGCAGACCTAAAGTTGTTTTAGGCTTTAGTTACGCTAGTATCAGGAACCCTTCTGTCTAAATGTTCTGGTCCCAAACCTTATTACCTCATTGAATCTTTACATAGACATCATGTTCAGAGCTGTTTTCTGTCATTTAAAATACGTATTTCTCTGGGGATTTGATGTTCTTCTCAACCGCATAGCTGTGTCTGCAGCATGTAATGTTTGATATTGAGAAGAAAAGCTTGGAATTATGTGCAATTTTCTCACTGAAAGATGCAAACTGTTTGATAGCCAGGAACTAGTAGCAACCATATTGCAGATTTTATAGCATAGTTCAGTTTTTTTGTGTTCTTGTTGAAGCCCATCACTCTATATGATGCTGTTTTGTGTGGGATGCAGAAAAGGAGGTCCTCGGCAGGAGTGGAGCTGGAGGAGTGACCCGTTTTATTGCTTCATCCGCGAGCAAAGTACACAAAGGAGTTCCCTTCCTTTAGGTTAATATCTCTCCTGCTGCTACAAATAACACTGTAGGCTTTCTTTGCCCTTTCTCAATTTGAACTTTCCTGAGCTTTGCACTTTTATCTGAGAGTGGTACTGGAGCTGTGGTACAATTAAACTCAAGCCAATCCGGATTCAATGAGTCAGTATTGCCATATTTTTGATATGTTCTGTGATAAATGATCATGGAGGATTTACAGAAAAAAACTAAAACGCATGCGTTATGTTACAATTACACAAATGGCTAAAGTATTGGAATGTATATTAATTTAATTTTGGTAGAAAGTGGAAAACTTTGCACATCCAACTCTGTGACACGTGCGTAAGAGCAGGCTCTGGACAAAGCTTTGCCAACTTAAAAAGGAAGAAAAACAACTCTCGCACACTGTACTTAACTGTACTGTTTTTTTTATTTACAGATGCATTTAAGTCATCGCAGGATTCCAAGGCATCCATGCCCATAGCCTGGAATAAAATATTTTGTGCGTCCGCGTGGGAGAATTCAAAGGTCTTTGCGCAATTCTGCGTGATTGAATTTATTTCCTGGAAAAAAAGACATGGTTGAGGAATCAGGGGTGGCGTATTCCTCCTGTATGCAAGTGTGGGAGTGCTGAAGTGAAGCAGGCAGACGCCTGTAAACAGCATCTACAAATAAAAGAACAGAGTGCGAGAGTTGTTTTTTTTTCCTTTTCAATGTAATTTTGGTAACCACACTGCAGAGGAAACTCATTTTAGTAGCTTGTTCACTTGAGACGCTGCTACGCCACATCAATAGGAACCAGCTGAGACTTGGGTGTCTGGTTGGGACGCCTCCCTGTGGTGTTCTGGGATATCCATTGTTAATATTGAATTTATCAAGATCTTGTTTAAAGCCAAATGTGTTCAAATAATAATTTCACAGTTTTGCGTGGCTGCAATAATCCTCAGTGAGACTGAGTTGGCCACAGCTTCTTGGCTGAACTCCATAATTAAAGGCAGATAACAAATGATGCTTGTAAGAACCAACATTATTGATTGAGCGATCAGTGCCAACAAGCTCTCTTCCTGTCATTGGCTGGTAAATTAGCTCTCACACACAACATGAGGGCACGTCCATTTTTCATATGTAATCGTGCCTTAATAACAACAGACTCCATCCATCAGCGTGCCCACTCTAGTTTCAGTGATTAGAGAGTGCGCTATTGTCCTGAGCCCTTGTTTTCAGTGCTGTGCGGGGCCTCTACTGTCCCAAGCCCATGCTTTCGGGCGGCACGGTGGTGCAGCGGTTAGAGCTTGTGCTTTACAAGCTTGTGCTGTGTTCGATTCCATCTCCAGGCATTTCTGTGTGGAGTTTGCATTTTCTTGCAACTTTATCATGCGCCTTCCCCTCGCAGTTGCGGCCCTCTGTATGCGCCTTCCTCTCACAGCTCTCTGGATGCTTGCCTTCCTCTTGCGGCTCTATGCCCTTGAATTGATGCGCCACGGCCCGGTCTGTTTACATGTCCTGGAGTGTACTTGCGGCTGCACGGCTGATTGGTGCGAGATTGCCATTACCGCGTGCCCTCAGAGCGCCCGCTCCGCTGGGATAAGGACACTGAGGCGAAAATGAGCTTCCAAAAACAAGGGCTGCTCCACCACAAGAATTTAAAGTGATGCGCTGGGCAGCTCTACGTCATTTAAAATGTGGATTACATCATAAACAGACTGTTCATAGTTTTATTGTGTGAACAATAGTTACATCTCAAAACGTTAAGCACATATTCGCCCCACCGGTGAAAAGCCCACCTGCTACTTAATAATAATAATGGACTTGGATTGTGCTTTATTACAAATAGAGACATTGTACAGCATTATTCACCCATTCTGCTGTACAACTACAGCTGTATCCACAGCTGCCCTGAGGCAGACTGAACAAACTAGGGCTGGCTGCTAAGCTGAAGGTCAGCTGACAACCACCAATTATTCACAGTCACACACACACGCACACACACACACTCACTGGCTGTGTTTCCCCTAAGGACACAGCCATTTAGCAGCCACCCCAGGGGTTCCCAAAAGTCTACCATCAGAGTAGTACTGAAGGATGACATTATCCATATTTGATAATCCGGCATGACTTTACAGTGAATAGTAAATAGGGCTATAAGATATGGTTGGTGCAGAGAGCTCTGTAGACGACACAGCTCACTGCAGATGACTGTGACAAATGAGAGCACCATCCAGGACTGAGGCTGAAAGTGGAATCATCTCATTCACTTTCTTTTATTTAGTGTTTTAACAATTTTGTTGCCCTGTGGTCTTAGGAAAATCTCCACATCCTTTTTTTCTTTTGCTACTTTTCTGTGTTCTGCCACATCACCGGAAAGTATGTGTCGGATCTGAGCGCATTGTGGATGAAGGTTTGAAGTGCTGCATCCAGCGCCGGTGGCAGGTGTACACGCTGGCTGAACTTTCTACTGGAGCAGCTGCCATCTTTGTGTGTGTGTGTGTTTGACAGCCTCAGCTTTGCGGTTGAGGCCAGAAAACACCTAGGTAATATGCGCGCCCTCCAGCAGCAAGGCCGAAGCGCGCCATACAGCAAGAATATGCCTCTCGGTTTTGTGAGGTGAATATGACCATGTATCCAAGAAGGCTGCATGAGCTCATATTGATACTGCAGGAGACTCTAATCTGCTGTGTGTAGGGAGTTCAGTAGAGGATGAACAGACTGTACGTTGTGCTTCCTTTCTACTGCGATGTATCAGTGTATGAAAGTACAAACCTGTGATGAAAGAAAATCCTGTGTATTCTTTGCTTTGAGTAATGGAATATAACAGCAGCCTGCCCAGGGACTTCAGGTGGAAATTAGCATCTTTGCTATGACCTGGTACATGCATCTCTCCTTTGTGTTAATGTTTAATTGTACACTGTCCCTGTTCAAATAAAGTACATACAATGCAGCAGCAGAAAACTTCATCCATCTTCTTTGGCTTTAGATTGTATTCAGATTTCTAACATCTGTTCGGCTTAACTACATATTTATTAGTGTTACTCTGACAAGTTATTCTCTTCCAAACTTCCACAAATCATTACTTGATTACTTGTCGGATAAGTTGAGATAGTTGAGATGAATATTCAGACTGGGTTCAGTTCTGGATCAGACCTGGTCATCTATTGGTTCATATTGGGCAGCACTTGGCACAGTGGTTAGCGCTTGCACCTCACAGCAGCTTTCTGTGTGGAGTTTGCAGGTGTCTGACGCATGAGATGAGATGAGAGAGATGAGATTAGAAGTTTGTTGTAATATTATGCCCCGACTGCGTTGCCATTGTTTGGAAATGTGGCTATGCTATCTGTCTGCGTGTTTGTACACAGCTCATTTTGTGGACAAGATACATCTTATATAAAACAGAAAGTTACCACACACTATATCGTTTATGTCCCCATATAGCTGATTTCCATTGGACATAAAAGTGATTCCATCCAGAGATTGTAATAGTTCTGTGTCGTTAAACCGAGGCTTGTGCAAACACTTTTAAAGGTCCTATATCGCGCTTCTAATTGTGCTTCACAGTCCATCCTATGTACATGTGTGTTCATAATTTTGTTGACACACCATACATCACTCAACACTTGTCTAGTTATATCAATCAATCAATCAATCAAAGTTTATTTGTAGAGCGCCTTTCATACACAGGGCAACACAAAGCGCTTCACAGTCCACATCACAAATCATCACATAAAACAAACACCAGAATCACAATTAAAACATTAAAATCACACAAAAGATTAAAACACAATTAAAACATTAAAATCACACAAAAGAATAAAACCATTAAAACTTTCAAAATTACACAAGAAATTTAAAAAAATAAATAAATGACAGCAGTGCATTAAAAATGGAGATAAAATCCTTCAGTTATATGCACAGGCAAACAGAACAGTCTTTAACCTGGATTTGAACATTGACAGAGTAGACGCCTCCCTCACATTTTCAGGGAGATTGTTCCAGATCTTAGCTGCATGGATCTGAAACGCAGCCTCCCCATGTTTGGTTCTCACTCTGGGCACCAGCAGGAGGCCAGTCCCTGTGCTCCTCAGAGTCCGGGCCGGTTCATATGACACCAACATGTCACTAATGTATTCTGGTGCAAGGCCATGGAGAGACTTGTACACAAGCAGAGCCGTTTTAAAATCTATTCTTTGAGCCACAGGAAGCCAGTGCAGAGACCTGAGGACCGGACTAATATGGTCATACTTCCTGGTTCCTGTCAGGACTCTAGCTGCTGCATTTTGGATGTACTGCAGCTGCTTACAGGTCTGTTTGGACAGACCTGTAAGCAGGCCATTGCAGTAGTCTAGCCTGCTGGAGACAAATGCATGGACAAGAATCTCCAAGTCTGCCCTGGACACTATATTTCTAACTTTGGCAATGTTCTTCAGATGGTAAAAAGCTGTTGATGTTATTGATTTTATGTGGCTATTGAAATTTAGGTCTGAGTCCAGTATTACCCCCAAATTTCTGACCTTGTCTGAAGGAAGTAGGGAGAGAGACTGAAGTTGACAAATGACGCCCTCTCTTTGTTTCTGGGGACCAAAGACAATGATTTCGGTTTTGTCTGCATTTAGCTGGAGGAAATTATTTTGCATCCAGTCACTGATCTGTTGGATACAGTGAAGGAGCAAATCCAGTGGTCCATGTTCTCCTGCAGTCAGTGAGACATAGATCTGAGTGTCGTCAGCGTAATTGTGGTAGGACACTTTGTTTCTTTGTATTAACTGACCTAACGGCAGCATGTAGAGATTAAATAGGAGAGGTCCCAGGATCGACCCCTGTGGTACACCACAGGTCAGGGCCACATCATCTGAGACGCAGTCTCCAATCTCCACAGAGTACTTCCTATCCTCCAGGTAAGACCTAAACCAGTCTAGGGCTGTGCCAGTGACACCAACCCAGTCCTCCAGTCTCTGCATGAGGATCT